TAGAACAAAGCAGGGCAGATCTTATGGTAAGGTTACATTCTATCAGCTCTAGCGTTTGCATAAGATCGCCTTGATAGGCTTCACAGTAGTAGGTATTATTACAGCCTACTGTTAAAGAAAACTGCAGAACACTTTTGACACACCTTTAATGGGAATAATATAATGAGTATTCTCAATTAATCTAGCTATAGTCAACCTGTACTACTTTGTGGTCAGGTTACAGCAAGTCAACCATGGGAATTAAGTCTTTGTTCAGCCTACACGTAATTCAATGAATGATCAAACAGGTATAATCATCATACAGTTATACTATGAATAATCTGACCCTCATTGTGTGGGGTAGACATCATCTACATCTCCTTCTGGCTCTAAAATAGACTGTAATCAAAACGTGTTAAGAGCTTTACATATGAAATTATCCAGTTTTAATTATAGAAAAGTGAATTGAGTTACGCAATTCTCCAAAGGAATTGTTCTCATCTCTTTTTATCCTATGAAAGTGTTCTTTGTTCTGAGGGAAAATATACACTTAACACCCCCATGATTCAACTGAATTTTCAATCAGCATTGCATATATAACAAAACAATTATGAAAAACAACACGAGGCGAGCAGAGTAATCAAGGATGTGCAAACTGGGAATTGAGAAATGCTGAAGGAGAGAACAGGGACAGCTGTAAGAGTAGTTATCCATTACTGACGCCATTCATGAAGTTATTACCACCGGCAGGTAAAGGGGCAACGGCTCCTGATGTTTTCATCAAGGGCATCTCATAGGTTGTCAATTGGCCATTCATTTAGGGAGAGAAATAAAGTTACAGTGTATGGGCAGGACCTGTTGGCATCTGGCAGGCGTTACCGCAGCATCCGGACTAAAACCACCAGACTCAGGGACAGTTTCATCCCACAGGCAATAAGACTGCTAAACACCTTAACTGTTGAAGCAAAATCTGTTAAAACACCTGAACAGTTGAAACAACATCCCTAATATTCATCTGGCTGCTACTTAAAAAATATTTTAAATTATTTATCTATTTACCTAAATATCCTATTTCAATAACTTGCATATAGACTCTTATTGCACTATTTCACTATTTTAAAACTATTTTTCTTTTTGTATTACTATTTACTATTTTTTCTGTGTTATTGTGTTGCTTTGTTGGAGAAGCCTGTGACACAAGATTTTCATCGGCATAACTACACTGTAGCTATGTTCGTATGACTAAATAAAAAACCTTGAACTATAGGCGCTTTCACACCGGAGTACTTTTCCCCATACTTTTCCCTTTTAGTTCCGATAGTTCCTGGGATTTTGCGTTCACACCAAAAAGAGAACTTAGTTCATGAGAACTTTTACCCCCTTTTCAGTCCCTGCTAGAGAGGTGCTACTTTCCTGGGGAGAAAAAAGTTCCAATTTCTGATTGGCTGGGCGGATTGCAAACCACGGCCCGTAAAACTGAGAAAAGTTTTGTGAAGCCGCCATTGTATTTGCTGGCATTAGCATTATTAGCATTATCATTAGCCCAGTGCACCAACGGAGAGAGAATAACTTATGGCAACACAAAAAAAAACATGGGAGCGGTGGAGTGATGAGGAGGTGTCGGCGTTCTGGCGATTTACTCGGAAGGCCAGTCCCCAACTCCGGGGACTTCCGGCCAGGGACTTTGGGTGGCAGTATACGCCGTGAAGTTGTTTGCGGCCTGCCAGTCAACCCAAAGCAGAAGAAGAAGAAGTGAAGTCAGCGGCTTCATTTGCGTAATCTTCCCTCAGGGACTTATTCCGGTGTGAACGCGATCTGCTCTTTCGTTCCATGGGTGAACTAAGTGCTGGGAACTAAGTATGGCAAAATACTTGGTGTGAAAGCAGCTATTGGGTCTTTTTTGCATGTCTTTTTGAGAGAGAAGTTCAAGCTTTTTCCATTATTGCTCTCCTTCAAGTGAACATCTCACTTATGACAGTTTTCTATTATCGACAGGTCTAAACGTCTGCTGTGAAAGAACAAGGCAAACATCTTTGCATATTGTCTGTAACAAAAATATGCTTAAAACATTGGCTGAAACTCTCTATAATTCTAACAATGGCAACATGTGGGGAGAGGGGGTTCAAACATTGTTTTACAGTTCAGCAAGCACTTTGTTTTCGAGGATGGTGGGCAGCCGGGTGCTGTTTTGCTTTAGGATCAGACTGTGATGTCTAATTATAACACAACCTCCAGCAACACCCTCCTACCAATAGCATGTAACATAGGCCTTTTCCCCCATTCGTTTTGACTAGTCATAGTAGCATAAAGGCACAGGTGTTACTTATAGCATAAATGATGGCTCCTGTAATACAAGTGACTAAGATAAGGTGCCCTGATTAGACAGTGCTTCAGATGGAGCTTGTTAGCTAACCTAGCGATCTCCAGTGTGACTCTCAAATTGCAAGTACAAACCTGTGACTATATTATTTATTGTTTTCCTATGATATATAATCAAAGGCGTTATTTGTGAACAACAGATTTTCACTGGACCTCAATAATAGCACTGGCTGCAGTTCCATAGGCGCTTTGTGGAACAGCTGCAGAAGCACCCTGATTGGTCCCTAAAGGGTAATTCACTTCAACATGTCAAGCTGCATGCTGAGCAACAGAACAGAGCCGGACAAACCCAGCGTCTCAGGGGACGCTTTAACACAGCAGATGCTCTCAGACAGAACTTGAACTTGAACTGTGGTCCTCGGCCACTGGGTCAATCTACTGCCCTAACATAGCCTGAAGGAGTGAGAAGTCGCTGCCTATTCTAGCTAAATGTGTTCTCCATTTCTGTAAACAAGGTTCCAGTAGGGCTTGCCTAATCTATGGTTGAAATCACAAACACACACGTACAAGCTCTCTTAGGTACACAGTCACAAAATGCACAAACATGCTCTGTATTGTACACACAGAGTTGCAGAACCCTCTCGAGACGTGCACTATCTCTCAGTTGAATTAGATGTTTCCTTCTCATACCCTTTCTCAGAATCTGTCTTAGAGATGCTTCATACTCAGGCGTAAAATCGAATACATCTCCCATTTTAATTGTTTTTTATTTGGAATTAGAGTTAACATGATGGCTTACGCGTTAAACACATCTTATCCCCCTTAGATCCACGAAACCCCTTGAAAACACTTTGAAGTCATTTGTACTATTCCTTTATGCTTCACTGCTTTGCCAAACGCAAATTATCTGTGTTAAATTGCACTTCTTTCTCCCTGTTATCCTTACGTTAACCCTGGCTGTCATCTTAATATCAGACTGTTAGCCTCCCTTGTTAGCTCCCTTGTTAGTTCAGTCTCTTTCTATCTCTTTCCCTCACAGCACTTTGCCCATTAAATTCACATTTCAGCTCCTACTCCCCTCCCATCTCCCTCTCTCTCTCTCTTCCTTCCTTCTTGCCTGCTTCTTTCCCTCTCTCCTCCTGTCTTATCTTGGTAAGTTTTCAGCTGGGACCTGCTTTTTCCTCTGCAATGTAGCCGCTTATGTCCCCCTGGGAAGGATCATCACCATGTGTGTGTGTGTCTGTGTGTAAGTGTGCATGTGTGTGTGCGAGAGTAAGAGACACTTTGTTCTTACCATCTTGGGTCACAGAAACAGGAATAAAAATCTTAGGGCTGGGCACTTGTGTGTTACATTTTCCGGTGTGTGAATGCTTTTTATATTTGTGCTTGAATACTTGAGTATATGTAGTATATGTGTGTTTGTATGTGTGGGTTTTCAGGGGACGAAATAGTGTCCTTCCCTCAGGGTGGATTGTGCCTGCAATTATCCTGATTTTATCTTCACTTTGGCTAAAAATTGCACAAAACTAACTGGGCTGCACAGTTTGTGTGAGTGAGATGAAAGCAAGTGTGTGTGTGTGTGTGTGTGTGTGTGTGTGTGTGTGTGTGTGTGTGTGTGTGTGTGTGTGTGTGTGTGTGTGTGTGTGTGTGGTGTGTGTGTGTGTGTGTGTGTGTGTGTGTGTGTGTGTATATGTGAGAGACACTTCAGGAACTCTAGAGCTGAATTTGTTGAAGCGTGAGAGGATAAGAGACGATATAAGCTGACCTTGTATGATCTTCCCATGGCCCCTCTGGTTGCATAGTTAGTAAGTGTTAACATACTGATCTGAATCTTAACTTATTTTGTGCAAAAGACAGCCATTCAGAAACTTGATTACCACCCAATTGTGTATAAAATGTATAAAGTAGTTCCCTCTCTTCTGCTGATGATCAAATACATTTGAAAAGCTTAATGACAGTTTCCCATCGTGGGAGATTGTTTGGCGCCTACAAAGTGAGGCACTGTTAATGAAAAATGTAAACAAATGTGATTAGATGAGATATGGATAAGGCTGGTGTCATAACCACATGCTATCTTTACTCTTGCTACCAGTCAGCACTTCATATCTTTGATAGAAAATAAATAACATTATACAGCAGAGGTTTTCATTCCCAGGCTTCAACACTCAGAGCCCTGCTGCTTTTCATTCTGTTCCTCTTAGGGAGTGATTTGCATCTGGGATACTGAGTGAATGCAATCAACTGGCAGGTAAAATTCAAATATTTGCAATAGGTTGTGTCATGAGGACCACTGACTGGTCTGCAAAGGAATAATGCATAAACCAGCCCAACGCCAGTAGAGGAAATAGTAAGACAAGAGGGATGTTAAAATCTCACAGGACCCCTCTCTGCAACTAGGTTCCCATGCATGTCTAGGTCCAGAGCTTCCTTGGGGATCTTTGAGTAATGTTATATTGGGTCTCCAAAAGAACCTATGAAAAAGCTGAAACTCACACACTGATTTATTTTGCTTTTGTGCTTCACTAAAATATATCAGTACACACACTCATATCTTTCTTCCTAAAATAAGACCTTATCTTGTCCAATGGACGACAGGAATTGGGGCATGAGGTATGAAAAATGTAGGATTCCAATGCACAGTCTCTGATTCACATCTCTGTCTAAAATGATTTCTGCCATCCACACAGTCTCAGCTTGCCTACCTTCCAGTGTCACCTCTCTCCCGGCCCGTTTCAGCGCCTGCACAGCCTCGTCGTGGGTCGCGTCCCGCAGGTTCATGCCGTTCACGGACAGGATGGCGTCCCCCACGTACAGAGCCTGGGTCTGATCCGCTGCGAGCCCTTTGAATATCTTACTGATGAGAATGGGCATTTTATTCTCCTTCCCGCCCTTGATGCTGATCCCCAGTCCCCCTATCTCCTGCTTGGTCAGCTTGACGCACCGCTTTCTGTTGGCGATCGCCTCGGGCACTCGCTCCGGCAGGTCCGTGAACGCGGTGCGCACAGTTTGGGGGCCGTTGTTGGAGTTGGTGTTATTGTTGTCCAGGTAGGATCCGTTGGTAACCCCGTTGGAGTTGACATTTTCGTCCCCGTTGTCGTTTACGCAGCCCTCCTCGCAGCTTAACGTAAGCGCTTCCTCGTTTAAGTTGACCAAAACTTTGTGCCACCGCTCCCGCACCAAAACCTCCACAAATCCACTTTTTTGCACTCCGAAGGCACCTGAAACTCCCGTCTCGATTACCACCGCCATCTTTGTAGCATTTCTTTAAAATGACATGTGATTTGGTTCCCAGCACGCTCTCACACATTAACTTCCCCCTGTCTCCCTCTCACTCAGCGTGGACTTTGCCCCTCTGAAGTTTCTGCGGGACTTGTTAGGAGTCCCGACCAACCAGCCCGAGCGCTTTCGGAGAAAGCTGCCTGCCACTCCGCCTGCCAGAGATCCTATCTGCGGGATGGAGTTTGCTCCCCCCGCCGTCAGCCGATCCAGATCCTGCAGTCACAAAATGTGTTAGTAATTTCCCCCCAACATTTGAGACTTGACAGTTGTTGAACAAAAACACTACAAATTCACCGACATTTTTTTCATTTTACTCGTATCAGGTTTACAACAAGTACATACAGTAAACTCGATGTTATACATTATGGGTAAGCCTGTATACCGACTTTGAAATCAATATTGGAATAAAACAATCACAAGGGCTGGTGAGTGATTTGGCCACGTGGAACTGAAGAAGCAATAGGAAAGATGACATTTCCATTTCTTTAAATAAATCAACTGATCTGAAATATGAATATAAACTATCCAGTCTTCAAATTCCCAGTGAGACCCACTTTGCTGAGCGCGTTCACGTTGCAGGCGTGAGACCGGTTACGCGCGTACAGGAATGCGCCTGTGCCAGTTATGATGTTTAAACTAAAAATAGAAAAAGAGCATTTTGTTTGGAAGATCTGTCACGGAGAGACCACCTCCTGAGAATTTGCTTTCCAACTCTACTTATTAGTGTTATTTCCACACAAAGGGACACCCGCGTGCACTGTCAATCTTGAAGGCTCTACCGTGAGAGTGCAACCAGGGTTATCACCATGTCCGGCGCCGTGGGAGGGCCAGGCCCTCCCATTTGACATTCCTGCCCTCCCCCAATAAACACGTTTTTTATTATTTATAAAAATTAAAAAATATATTTTTTTAATTTTTTTAATTATAAATAAACTGTGAACTTTTATGCTACGATGTATGTGATGTCAGAACAAAACAAAAAAATCGCAGGCTACGTCAAATAAATGCATGAGTCTGTGATTTGTGATTCGTCCCCATTTAGACCAATCACAGCGTCACACTCTGCCGCCTATTCTGGATTTGTTTATTGTGCATTCTGTAGACTCCCATTCCTGTTTGCATTACAAAATGGACATCAGAAATTGGCTCAAAAGGTCTAAGGATGTATTAAAACGAAATAGCGATGAAAGAACTGCAGCCGATGGTGCTGCTGGCGACCCTGCACCTGCCGTTGCAGCAGCACGCCTTAATGTCACAAGCTTGACCTCGGCAAACCCCGGGGCTGAGTTAGCGATGATCTTGGGGTTGATAAACCCAACCAGGTGAAACTGGATCGTTATCCAGGGAGATTTTCAGGAAATAAGCGCACTTTTGCCGCTGCATGGTACACAACAGACCATGGCTTGAAGATTCGTTAAAAGCAGACGCAGCCTTTTGTTTCCCCTGTAGACAGTTTAAAGTGAATACGTCTTCATCTGATGCGGTTTTTACTGTCAAAGGTTTTTGCGACTGGAAACACGCATTACAGACTGATAAAGGACTGCTAAGGCATGCCGCATCAAAAGAACACATTTCATGTGAGAGTTTGTGGAGAGAGAGAGAGAGATACGCGAGGAAACAAATAAGGAAATGAGTACTTTGGTGCAGATCAGCTGCACGGAGCCGTTATTACGTGTCAGCTGTCGTTTATATTATAGCTTTTTTAGCTGTCAACCTTGCTCGTGATTTACCAGTGTTTGTGCTGCCACGCACACAATGTTTCAAAGTGGTTGCTATGTTGCCCTTTATTTGTGTATGTTTGCGATAAGTGTGCGTCTTTACACAATGCTGTTGGCCTTGCTGTTTGAAATATATTGTGCCGCAGGCCCGCAGCACGTGACGGTTTTGTGTGCCCTCCCATGAAAATCATAGGCCCTCCCCAGGGGCGTCGCCTGGACCTGGAAACATTCGGGGCTTAGCCCACAGTGGCGGCGCTACAGTCAAATGTTCTACTGCAAGACTCCCCACACGCAATTGCGCCATCTGGTGTCACAAATGTGTGCCTGCATTAGCTTTGTTACGGCAATGGATTGTGGGAGATTCTCATAGCATGTGAGGATCTCTTGAGGGTAAGGTGCCTGTATTATCTCGGTGGACAAAATGTATGTTTTTATTTTATAAGGACAATAACGTACTGTTGTGTTTGTTTAGTTTAATGTTAATTGTTTAATGCTCACAGTCACAGCAACATGTTTTTTGTGTGATTGGCTATTTGTTTTATATGATTTATCAATAGCTAATCTGAGCACCAGAACCCAGCTCACGTGTCCTTTTATGCTGTCCATTGAAATGCAGGTATGTGAGTTTTGTACACCAGTTTATTTATGTTTAATGTTTCACATTGCTCCACATGATGCCTTGACTACAAAGTCTTCCATGTTTCTACGCTTCTTCCTCTGTGTCACAGTTTCGGGAATATCAAGATCATTGCACAGGGCCTTGGTCTTGTCATAGACCTCATGTGCTTTCTCGTTACTTTGGTAACTTTTCAGTGTGTTCTCAACTGCTGTTTTGTAATCTACTGCCTGCACCAAGTCAATTGTTTCTTTCTGCAGGTATTCAAGCAGGCCCTGAGTGGTTGAGAGCAGTGTCTGGAACATGACAGCATGTAGATGGTACTGCATTTTCAAAGCTTGCTTTCCAGTCCCTTTACTAGAGGGGCTGAAAGGCTCCCTAAAGTCTTGATCAAAGCAGGGAGGTTTTTGACATGCCCAGCGAACAAGTTGTTTGTCCCCTACCTCTAGCTGTTTCTGAAATGTTTGCAATCTCTGATGGTGGACAAGAGATGTGGAGAAGAAAGAGTAGAGACACTCCAGGAGATCAACGCAGGTATGTGAGTTTTGTACACCAGTTTGTAGAAGTTTAATGTTTCACATTGCTTGTGAAAAATATACTACCACTATACGATCACTGATGTTTTGTTGTTGACTGGACACTTATTTTGTAAAAGAGATAGCATGAGAGGATCTCTTAAGCAATGCAGCTCACGTGTCCTTTTTATATGCTGTCCATTGAAATGCAGGAAAGTAATCACTAGCTTTGAGTGATCTGTTGCCAAGGGGACACTACACCGGAGTTACATAAGCAGAGATAAAGTGTTATTTTGGGGGGAACTCACCTCCTCTGGGGTCCCCCAGGAAGATTAAAAAAAAATATTGAAGTTAAAAGCATCAATCTTGTGCACTTTGAGAGCAACATTAAGAGATATGATACATCTCTCAACACCCATATGTCAAAAATAAATCAAAGAATCAGAAACGGGTTTATTATTTAAAAACACTTCATTTTCCAATTAAATCATAAACTATGTCAAATTATTAGAAGTTGTTAGTAATCAGATTAAACAGAAAAAAGGGATGGAAGGAGGAAATAATAATCCCTCATCTCTTGCTGTTTGCGGTTGAAATGATCTCTTTTGCTGGCCAAATGGAAAGCAGTGATGTCTCACTTGCCTTGGCCCTGTATCTGCAGTAGGGCTGTAGCGATACACTAATCTCACGATACGATACGATACACGATATTCAGCTCACAATACGATATATATCACGATATTCAGCCAACGATACGATTCGATACACTTATATCATTTTCTGAAAGATTTTAAAGGGACAGTGTGATTTTGGTGACATCTTGTGAGTGTTCCATTGACTTGGATTGAATTAATTCAACTCAAAACTGAAAGCATCAATTATACAATATATGGCTCTGACAGAGAGTCTACAGCTTGCAAATGCTGGACAAAATGAATCAAAAGATGTGGTGAGAAAATTAGTTTCATTTATTGAAACAGTGCAAACTGTAGCTTACAAGCCTTTGAAACGTAAGTACATAAAGTGCAGTATCACAATGGAGAATGGAGAATTAAAAGGTGCAGCAGGTGGTGGAACACGGGGGATTTGAATGGGACTTGTTAGAAATTAAAATCAATGTTTTGATGGCATAAAGTACCTTAAACATACAGTCAGTTTAAATGCTGTTTTATACTGAAAAACCAGAAGTTCTTGTGCACAACCAGTTGTTAAGCTTTTATTCTGAAAATCCTTCATCTCCGGTTAGCATTTAGCATGTGGCTAATATACCATTTACTATAAAGGTGAATTTAGTAGCGATATGACACGGAGTGTTGCACACCGAAACCTACTGATTTCAACACTACAACTATAGACGTCGAGATATTATTATTGCTGAATATTAAATGAAGGTACAGTTTATTTGAATACGTTTGTTTACAGACGTGGGTAGCATGAGACAACATCCGGAACTACCGGAAATGATACCAGCCGTGAGGTATTTTTGGAGTATTGATTACAGCGTTTAAAATGTATTAAATGAAAAGTCATGAAAGAGATAAGGAGGAGAAAAGGCGTGTTTAGTTATATATTTTATGTACAATGTCTGAATCCTCTGTAATGCGCAACAACGAACATTGGAGACGTGGAGGGCCGGCCCCCAGCAGCGGAACACAGCTGTTTTTCTGACTGAACCATCTTCTGCTTGTAACATTACCGCGCTTTTTATTAATTAAAGTATACATTTGAACCTTATCAGAGACTCAATTAGTCTCCTTTTTAAAGCTTCTCTCCTGGACGCGAGAATAACGAACACAGTTATCAGACTTAATGTATCGATACCCGCGGCTGAAATATCGATACTTTCTCGGAAAACTAAATATCGATATATATCGCAGGATCGATTAAATTGCACAGCCCTAATCTGCAGTCCCTAAATCAGTCATGTTACCCATTGACTCTCGTCTGTTCTGGTGTTCCTGTTCATTGTTGTCTCCATTGTTGTTCTTGTCTGTTGTATCTCCTTCTTGTGTGTCCCTTTCTCCTGTTCCCCTTTCTTCATCCTCTACTCTGTTTGGCTCATCTGTGATGACTGTGTAGGTAAACATAAACAAGTATGTAAGTCAATCAGTTTCCAGCTCTGTCAAATAAATGAATTTCAAGATACACACATTTGTTTTCATTAAAATGAGTGTCACCACACTGTCACAAAATGTAATACTAACCAATTGAAAATAGTTAAATTTACATTGGAAACCTCTTGTAGATATCACTGTTAAGAGTAGTTGTCTGCCAATAGGACAGAATCATTCCTATACAAATGCAGTTTGAGTA